TTTTTAAATGTTCTTTTCTTTAGTCTCCAAACTCCAGAAGTCTCTACTCTGAAAACTGATTGTTTCATTGATTATGGACCTTTTGAACTTTGCATAGTTATTGGTGCTTTCTTGAAAAGAGAAAATTTTCTAGCAAAGGAAATCACTGACATTTACCAGGGTAGAAACTTAAGGGACTCAAGATCAGTTTTTAAGTGGTTCCAGTTCTGACCAGATCTCTGTACATGACTCCAAACTCTGCTTCCAGGACCATGGACTGAAGTTTTAGATGGTAACAGGTAGTTTTTGATCTCTTACTCTTGAAGGTATTTGAATTAAAAAAAAAAAAAAAGAAAAGAGAATGGCTCTTAGAAGACAACTACTCCTGTGCTTTTGTAAATAAAACCATCTAAAATTAAAAATCTGAAAATGAATTAACCTAAAACAGAGACTTTTGGAAATGTCACCCAAATCATCTGATCTGCAAGGCCCTTCCTCTTTGTACACAGACTCAAATGTTTTCGGAAGATTTTTCCATGAGACCGTTTCTTCTTTGTAGCAAAAAGGGGAGTGAAAAGCTCCCTGAGAAGCCCTGTGACATTTCAGAGACAGACGCAGTTTCCCAGAAATTCTGTGACTACCCTGACCTTCACAGCACCAGGATTTCCACATCCCTCCACACTCAGTGTCCTGACAGTGCCATACAAACCCTGGGCACTCCTGGCAGTGCCCACTGTGTCCTGCTCAGCCTCTGTCACAGTTCTCCTGCAGGATCAGAGCTCAGCATCTGGGTTATTCCCAGTGCACAGCAAGCCCACGGGTGTGTCTACATCCATTCTCCATCCAGCCATTCCCACCCCACAGCTCAGAACAAACCCCAAATGGCCCATGGGGGACTTGCCTGCTCCTCTTGGTGCCCTGTCAGCACACAAAGGGTTCAGCCCAGAGCCTCCCTGCAAGCCTAATGCAAATCAAAATGGTCCCTAAATTCCAAGCTGTGTCCAGCCGTGTAATCTATGTCCAAAAGGAGGAGCAGTGTTTGGGCTGCTGCTCAGCCAGCAATCTGAATTAACCCGTGTTGCACACAACCTCAGTGACACAGCTCTGTGCTTCTGCCCTGTGAAGTCCTTTGCTCTGCTTTGGGAACAAAAGCACAAAATCTTAAACTGAGCAGGTGGTAGAAGACACAACATAATGCATTTTTATGGGCCCTCCATATGTCCTTCCCAACATGCAGTGAGATAAATTCTCATCTCACTTACAGTTGTGCAGCCCCACTCAAATCTTGCAGTTTAGTACCACTGCAAAAGTCATCTAGGAAATTCATGTTGTCCATGATTCATCCATTTTTTAAAAATTAAAACAAACCAAAACAAAATCTCCAAGGCCTTTTTGAGTATTGAGTTTGGGTATCTCAAATCTGTGCCAATTCTCATATCTTGTTTAAGTCAGTCATATATGCCCTGATTCACCTCGCCAAATCACCTATGGATTTGTACCTCTAATCTCTTCCTTCATCTCAGTTTCTCCTAAAATAATGCTAGTGACACACACCTAACTCCCAAGTTGTGACACAAAGCTGAATTAATTCAGGGCTCTCCAATGCCAGAAGAAACTTAGAGATGAATGGTGCCACAGCACGTCTGGGTATTTCTATGTGTAATAGGGATTTTTAATATTATTCCAAAAAGAACACACATTCAAGGTGTGTTCAGACTTCTGTATTTCTAAAAACGTTCTCTCAGGAATGTCAAAGCTTAAAATCTAAGAAATAATTGCTCTCTAAGTGCATGCTAATGGCTCGCTCTGCAGATGGAAAATAGAAAGCTTATGTTTTCTTGTAAGCACAGGGTTGACACTGGTTTATTTCTTTCAGAAATACTCACAAAAGCCGGGATTTCTCTGTATATATGTGACCTTGATTCCTAGATGGCACATGGACTACTTAGAGATCATGTTACTAAGTTATTTGCAGTTAAAGAGGAAAAAAAGGCTAAAATTAATGGGTCACTGGGTATTTTCTTCTGAGAACTTAACTACTTAACAGTAAGAAAAAAATAGTTTACAGCCAGGTGGCTTGAGGGGATATTTTGTTGAACACTGATTAAAAATAATTTCTTCTAAATGAGACCTGACCACAAAATGGGACCATTAACGAGCAGGGACATTCTCACCAGAAAGGAAACTACGCTTGATCAACTCCTGCACCGCCCACAAACCCCAGGTCTTGTTCTCTCTCTCTCTCTCTCTCACACTCTCTTTTGCTTCTCCCCCCTTGCTTTTTCTGCTCTCCCCTTTCCTTGTTCTTAATAGCAGGGTAAATAAGCAGCAAGTGATGCTGAAATGTTTTCGGCCAAAAACAGAGGCCAAACTCCTCTGAGAAAACATTTGGCCTCTGTGGTTTTGTAATATGTTCCAGAACACTGAGTTCACTGAAGAACATTGTGAAAAACTCCCATCGGCTGGAGTGATGCTGGGGAATGTTACTGTATCCCAACTTCCAATTGGTCCATTTCCTCCAGGCCTTGTTAAAAAAAAAAAAAAAAAAAAAAGGAAAAAAAAAAAAAAGAAAAAAAGTGCTATGTGGGAGTTAAAACAAGTTCTCATGGGAAAAATGAATGGCAAGAAATTCTAGCTTTAAAAGAAACAGCTAATCTGCTAGTTTGATTGTTCTTCAAAACTTACAATGAACCAATAATCCTAATTAAAACCACTTGGCCTAGTTCTCTAAAGCATCATAGCTTTTTCTATGCTTCGTTTGTACACACCATAGACTATTAGTTTTTTTCTAGTGCTCACTAACAAAGTGCTGACTTTGTTGGGATGGCTGAGCTAATTTCGTGAACTCAGTGTGAAACCTTAGCTAAACAAAATTGTGGTAATTTTCCTTAATTTGTAAAAGTGATTGGAGTGCAAACAAAATTTTCCTCTTGGGTCAATCCTATAATTTTCAATTAACTAAAACTAATCGGCAGGCATGTACTGAACCTGCATTTTGTTTAAAGGGCTGGAAGGCACTTCTGAAGGTCAGGATGCATTAATTGTTTTTATTTTAGTTTCATTTAGTCCTTTTTAAAAAGGTACATTTAAGTTCAGGCTGGGTCTAAAAGGAAAATGTAAATTGTGTGAGGTGGAATTTCAGTCACAACACCTTTTCTGTATTTATTGTAACGCTGTAAGCAACTGCATGAGAGAATTGTCCATGGGCTGGATCACCTTTGATTTTATCATTATTGTTCAGTGTTTCATACTTCCATTTACTGGATGAAAAATACTGTGTTTTAAACACCAACCAGAAAATGCATACATGGAAACATTCTCCCTACTGGGACCTTGATTTCCACATTCAGCCATCTGCTTCTGGGCACACAAGCTAAACTGCTGCCCTCCTTTTTATGGAAAAGCTAATTAATGATGATCTCAAAAGCAACCCCAAAATGGGTTCAAGCCATTCTCACTTATAAAGAAGTCATCAAAAATTTTTTTGCAAAGTTAAGGGGAGCAGGTTTCCCCTTTTTTTTCCTCTTCCATATCCACACCTGCCATTTCACCAGCCCCAGAGGCAGTCACCCCAGTGGAAGTGACAAAAAGCAGGACAGCACAAGAAAGAGAGGAGGGAAAGGATTCATCTCAAACACTCCAAAGCTCTTGGGCAACACCCTCCTGTGATGGTCCAACCATCAGTTTGCACCAGCCATAAATTTGACCTTTGTTTTTCCTTTTGGCCCAACACATTCAAAACTCTAAATAATTTTTTTGATATGGTGCGTTATTGTCCAATATATGGATTTCCCACACATTGCTGAAATCATAGTGCTCGCAAATAAACACACACAGCCTCCACAAGTGCCTGCTGCTCAGCCAGCAGGGCAATATGAGAGCATTATAAGAGCCAGTTTAAAGAAATCCAGTGCATAATCCCATCTGGGGGAGAGGGTATTTGAAAAAGACAAGAAAGCTTTATAAGGCACCTTTGTTCAACTTGCTTAGTGTTAACAAAATTCAAATGAGAATTTCCTGCCCAGCTGGAGCACAGAATTCTCTCCTCTGCCTCGAGTCCCTGTGTGCACACAGAGTTGGAGCAATGTATGATCCCAGTGGAACTCAGAATGCCTTAGTCACAAGTATTTATGATATATCCTAAACTTCCAGGGGCAACCAAGGATGAGGAAATGAATTGTACTGGGTTGTGCTGAGCCATGGTTCAGGCAAGCAGTTCCAGCATAGTCCTGACTGTAGATGTGAACAAGTGCATTAAAAGCACATCAAAACCAGGGCAAAGCTGTTAATTCCTGCAGCACACGCCTTCATAGGAATCAATGACACACAACCTTTTAAAAAGTTAGGCTTCTACTTGATTTATTTCCCAGGCCATTCTTTTAACTACTGAGAGTGGTTTGACACTGACAGCACCTGCAATGTCCCAGAGTGGGTTTTTTTTTGTTAGTAATTCTGAGTAATCTGGAGACCAAATCACTCAACTTAGTGGTCTCCAGTGTGGGAGACCACCCCAAAGCACACTGCAGGTTGCTGTGTCTGCAGCACTGACAGGGCTGAGAGCAACCTGGGCTCCCTGGAAGCCAGAGACAAGTGAGTTATGGTGAGATGGGCTGGCAAACAGGCTTTGAACCCTTGCAACTCTTGCTGGACAACATGAGACGGAGATGTTCAGCAGGATCCTTCTCAAGGCAGGTTTGTGTGTCTGGCTCCTTGTGCTTGCACTCTTCCTCTGTTTGTTTAAGTACTGGAGTATCTGTTTCCCTCTTTCCTCTCCCCTCCTGGGTAAAGAGATGTCCCATTGCGAGGACAAACAAGCAAACAAAAATCCCACCCTGGTATGTTTTCACATTCATCCCTACAGTCACCCAGTTCTGACTCCAACCTCAAACTGGTGCCTTCAGTGACATCCTCAGCCAAAGTAATAAGATACAGCACAGCTCTTAATGACAAAAGCAGAAGCCTTAGCAAGTGTGATATATTGCCTGCCCTATTTTTCCCCCTTACATTTAGAGCATCCATACCTGTGTAAATGAATCTTCCAGGCGTTCCCTTGCAAAACTGCTTAGACTTGTAGGACAATGTGACTTCTACAACCCCTGGGATATGTCGGGGAGGCGTCTGTACACGGATGGCATGAGGAGTAATCAGCTAGAGAAAACATTGGGAAGGGAGAAGAAAGAGACAAAAAAAGCACTGTTAGATGCTGAACACTTCTTTAATAACACTTTCAGATCACAGTAAACAAGCTTTGAAACATGCAATTAACCTGTCAATGTTTGAATACAGTCTTGATGTCACCCACACAAAAGCCAGTGACCACAATATTTACAATCATTCTTGTAACAACATTATTGCTGTTTTCATACATGCCAGGCACTTACTTCCTAATACAAGCATCAGCCCTGGTTTAATGCAATAACTCCAGCCTAGAGCAGCAGGACTCCCATGTTTGCTCAGATGAATTCTGGGGTCATGACAGTGTCCAACAAATTAGATTCATAAATGGCACATGATTACACATGTGAACATGGCACAGCACAAGTCCAAGGTTTTAAATACTCCAGTCCCCAGCTGACATCTGTACACTGGAAAAGCACCCTGTGTTGCTGTTTAAATTTTCTGTTCATTTTGTGGAGGTGTAACTGATTCTTGCAGAATGCAAATCTTGGCTTCTAAAGGACGCTGGATCTTTCCTTCAAAATTATGAGAGCACTCAAAAATGATGTACCAAAGAAAACCATCTAACCATCACTTCCAGTCTGCCTTCACTGCAATGACTGACACACATCTGAGAGGGCTTCCAGTGTGGATTTACACAGAAATAAGTAGATAAACTTGACTTTCTTTTTATTGAAGCAGGGGATTCTAATCCTCTTTGCACAAAGGTAGGGGCGGGTCAGTGTTGCACTTTCCAGGCTCTAGACCATTTCTGCTTTTTCAGGATTCTGCACTGCATTTAAAATGTGAAATTATTAGCAGAGCCATCTAGGAGTTCACTAATTCATAGCAGATTAACTCAAATCTCTGCTGCTCTCAGAAACTACAGCATTGTCTTCCCTATCAGCAAAACATCCTCTTCTCCCCCATTGTGCCCTCTCAGGAAAAACAGTAAAAAGAGGTACAGAGACAAGGTGAAATGATTGTGTCCAACAACCAAGACACAGCTCTGGCACATGGATAATCCTTCTCTGCCCGTGGCACATTAATGCACCTCTAGAGAGGCAAATAAAACCAAGACCATAACCTGTCTTGACAGTGAGCAAAGTGTGAGCACCCCATGCAGTCAAGTGCTCTATGCTCTTGGTTGAATGTCCTGGATCAAGGAATAAATTACAGTAGGTTTTTGTTGTTTTTTTTAAATAAAAAGCTTACTTTGTTCTTATTTTTACTAGGAACCAAATGTTTCAGCATTGTACTACGGCCCTACCAAAAAACCCAGACTTTTATCCAGTTCTTTGTTTAGGGCACAGGACTAAAAAAGAGCACAGAAGGAGAGTAATATCTGTCTGAGAGCCATCTGTGCTACAGAGGGAAATGGCACACACAGTAGGGAGCTCTCCATACTTAAAATAAGAAAATTAATATTAAATCAAGTTGAACGTCAAAACTGAAACTACCAGCATCAAATGCTCCAAAAGCTATTCAGATCCACAGAAGTCAGAAGCCACATGTCATTTTAGAAATTATCATGTAGGGGTTGATGTCTTCTTGTCTGGGAGCTCCAAAAGTATGTTTTCGGGCTCTGCTTTGGAATCATGTGGTTTAGAAATTCACTTACTTTTAAAAGAAACCTGCCTTTTTTTTCTAAATTGCTCATTCTATCAATCTGGGGGGGAAAAAAGAAAAATTAAAACAAAAACCAAAACCAAACCCCAAACTTCCAAGGAATGCTTTTATTTAAACAGAGTCTTACAGTTGAGCTGACCAAAGCCTCAAAGCCCAGGCCAATCCTCTCCATGGCCTAAAAAGCCAGCAGAGAGAGGCAGAAGGCAGAGCCAAGCAGCAATTGATTTCTAGTGCTTCAGACACCTCTCACATAGGGATGAGCCTCTCCCTGGAAGCTTTGACCCTTCCCCACTGAACCAACACGACAAGTTTAGACTATTTGCTCAACTGTTAAGCAGCCAAACATAACTGAGATAAATCCCATCCTCGAGTGGTTCTGGTTAACTGGGTGAACTGGCAACATGAGAAAAAAATGATGACATTTTTGGGGGGAAATATTTGTAAAAACAGCCAAGGATTTTAGTAGTAAAGGGTAGCACGCTCATCTTACTACATCAGCATGAGCCTTGCATCCCTCACCCTCATTCTGGCATGAGCTATACAGGGAGCTTCTGGTTGTATCTTTGAATTTCCCAGCATTTACTGGTCTGTCACCACTTTAATGTTCTTTAAACATAATTTGTGGCATTTTCCAATACTCATCTTCCTTGGTTCCCAAGAAATGTCTGACCTATTTATGGTCCATTGTTACAGAGAGCTGGGGAGAGTTAAGCAAGTTTCCTGGTTTGTTCTCCACAAACAGTTTGGTTTTCCTTTGTGCTCTGAAGTAAATAAGTTTAACTGCGTTTAAAACCACAAATATACAATAATGTCGCCCACACATTCCCCAAGGGTGAACATTATGTCTGAAGTCCTATGGTTTAGGACACTCAGGATGTATTTTATTCCTCTCTTCCCTACAACTAAAGCTTGGGAGGTATACCAGGAGAATACATGTGCCTTTTCCTTTTGCTTTTTCTCCATCACATCTGTCATTGACCACTGGCAGGGATTCAGTGCTGAGCCTTTGTTCTGGGCCAGCCTTCAGGTCTCCTGCACACAGAGGGAACTGCCCAGCTTGGTTACACACCAGGAGTTCCTACATTGCTGCTCTAGCACGAGATTGGCATTAAGGGACAAAAAAATGTTCCCTTGCACATCAGAACCTCCCACCTTGGGTCTCAAATTCTGATTCTCCAGCTCTGCCAGGATCTGCTATGGACTGGAAGCAGCTCCCCAAATTGTCCTGACTCTGTTTTGCAATCCAAGTGACCCAACTGGTGCTGTACCTCTCTGGGCAGCCCAAGCCCACCCATAGCAAAAGCAGATCTGCCCCTGCCTCCCATAACTCCAGGATTATGAGATGCTTTCCTGTCTACACTGTCAGCCTGGGGCCTGATGTTGGGAACCAACTCCACACTGACATAGCCTTTTCTCCTTTCACACTGACATAGCCTGTTCCTTCTTCAGGGCACAATCTGCCTCATATTCACATGCAAAGCATCTGGAAGAGGTGAGCTGTTACCATCCAGGGATATTAAAAGTAAAGACACCACCTCTGGATGCCCCTGAGCCCCAAACAGCTGGAGACTGGTAAAGAGTTTTGGGGAAGCATCACAACACGATCACCCTGTTGTTTTTAGGCATCTGTCCTTGCCCAGTGACAAACACAGGACACTGAGGTGGATGAGCTCCCTTTGTGACCAGCAGGGCCAGTTGTGCATCCTCAGCTGGGAACTCTTGGATGAACAGACATCACAACAAGAATAGCAACGACCTGCCAAGAACCAAGAATCCCTAAATATGAGTTATGCCCCTTTGTGAATATCTTTTTTAAAATGTAAATCTTGAGCAAGGCATTAACCTGTGGTTTGGACGTGAACCCAGCAGACAAAATCCCAGATCCATCTTCCTCCTCCATTCCAGCATTTAGCAAATTGAGAAATGGAGCTGGACATAAAATTAGTAACTGGACCTTTCTCCCAAGGGATTTTCAAGTGATTTGGCCTGATACTTAGCAACTGCATTTGCTGTTTGGTATAAATTCTTACATGTCAGCTGGGACATGCAGAGGGTTGCACTAAAACCTGAATTAGGGATCTTCTGAATGGTGGGCGGTGCCTGGCCTTCAAAATCCAAAACACATTTGGGCTGAGTGTGTACAACAAGCCTCTTTCTGTGGTTTGCTAATATATTCTAGGCATTCTTGTGTGATACAGCATCATTTCACACTCTTCAGTGTGCCAGGTTACTTTCTTTTTTTAAAAATGACATTTTATAAGGAGATGTCATTAATCTGAGTCACTAGTTTATTTTTGCATGCTTGAGCTCTGGTTTGTGGTTAGGGAAATGGTGACAATCAGTCATAAATTTGACTTTGACTCTGTGTGAAGAGGACCATTAGAACAGGAATGAAGAAAAATCCCACCAACTGAAGGTAATGACAGCTTTCAGTGAGAACAGAACCCTTAAGGCACCTATATTTTAAAAAACGACCAATGACTTTGCATGCCTCAATTCTGGGCATCCAGATGCTGCTTAATAAGCCTTGGTTTGCAAAAAGAGGGTGCCTACTCATTTTTTAAAAATGAGTCAGAGCTCCAAAATAAGCACTCAAAACCAGAGACTTCCAAAATCAATAACAAACATAAAAAGCAAAATAACAAACTGTGTCACAGAATTTGATTCAGCAGCAGTCAAAAAAAAAAAAAAAAAAAAAAAAAAAAAAACCACCAAACCAAAAAATCATCCTCTGTTTTTTGTGCTGTACAAAGGTAAAAAAAAAAAAAAAGATGTTTCAGTGCTTCATCTTTTCTTAATATAAAAGAAAAAGAAGTTGTTTCCAGCTGACTCTGTACAGCTGCAGGAATGTTCTTGGCAGGAAAATGTTTGAAGAAATAGTTCGTTTTAAGCAAATATTGTGGAATATTTATAAGAAACTAATTTTGTCTTCACAATCATGTATTTGCCTGCAACTCGACTCTCAGAGTCTCAGCACCCCAACAGCAGAGAGAAACAAGGAAGGTTCCTTATCAGCAGCACTGATTTGGAATATTTGTGACCATGCAGGGACCCAGAACCTGGGGGGTTTTTTTGGGGTGAAACCCCCAAATTCCAGCTCTGTGTGTGTGTGCACTGCACAAAGAGGCAGCAGGGCCTGTCTGGCACACAGAATGTTTGCTGGGAGGGTCTGAGCACATCCAGCATGTGCACACAACAGACCAGAGCTGTTTGTTTGGCGGTTACGAAAGTCCCTTGGAAAAAAAAAAAAAAAAAAGGCATTAGATGGCCCATTCTGCTGTATTCTAAAAATACCAAGGGCTTTTAAAGTCATTTTTATAAAGTAATATGGGAGGTAAGGATTAATTGAACCTACTGGCTTAGGGTATCTGCATTTCTGCTCAAAATTAATGTGACAAATTAAGTTTTTATTTAGTTCTCCCTGGCTGAGAAAGGTTGCAATTATGTTAGAGTGTTTACAGCTAAAATATATGTTTAAATAATAAATATGTGTTTCAGAAACCATTTTAAACCTCCTTTTTTAACACAGTCAACTCCATTTCAAGCATATAAATATTTCAATTACAAAACTTGAATACACGTAAAATAAATTAAAAATATATTATTTACATTTCAAATTATTTATAACATGCTGCTTGACAGCAAAAAAAATTCACTCTTATAAAGAAGTTGTTGGTTTTTTTTTTTTTTGGCTCTTAACTTTACTTCTGAATTAGGGTGGGATTTATATTTTAAATATCCATGCAGCTCAGGTATTTACATGGATTTTGCTATAATGAAGTCTGAGTAATATAGGACCTTTATGATAATTATCTTCACAGCACCTCTCCAAAGAAGGTGACTAATCTTATTACTGTTTTAGAGAAAGGGAATTGAACTTTAAGTAGATTACACGATTTGCCCAAGGTCCCATGCAAAGTCTGTAGCAAAATGATGCTTAATTTCAATATTAGACTTCATCTCCCAAACCACCTGCAATTATAGCTGAAACTGAAGCTGGAAAAATCCACATGAAAATGCTCTGCAAGACTCTTTCTTTAGTCTGCCTATCTGGTTTTGTTTGGGATTTTCTGAAGCCCAGTTAAAATTATGTTTCCTTTGGATCCATGAAACAACAGGCTGAACTTTAAAATTTGTCCAGAATTCAATGACAAAATAACCTGGCCAAGTTTGCTCATAACTGGGCCTTACTGGCAACTTGGGATGAGCCTGCTCCAGTTTTGTAATGGACTCAGATTCAGAGGATTGACAGTTCAATTTTATACTCTATTAAAATAAAACAAAAATATTCTTCTTGGGTACTGAAAATGCCTTAGACATTTTTAGAAATGGGAAGGCAAATGAAAGAACTTATTTTGTACTTCATAGGTGGCTTGTATGTGTAATTTGAATTATTTATAGATCACTATTATTTAGGGATCACTCAGACAGCTCGTGCATTTCTGCACTTGTTTACCATGTTTGTCTGCTTCTTTTAAAAGAATGTTCTTTTCTCCTATATGATTTTTGACTGCTCTCATAGGTTATGAAATGAGAAACAGTTCTGTAAGAGAGAGGCAGTGAAAGAGTTTTCCTCAACACCAGCTTGCATTGCAGCATTCCCAGACAACAGACTGGCTTTGGTCTGGACCCCCCCTAACATTATTAATTCCATGGCAAGGCCTTGCAACCATCAGCAACAATGTTTTGACCAGCACTCAGTCTCCTGAGATTAGAAATTGACAATTAATGGCTTCCACTAATAAATAGAATGAAGATTTATAATGAAAGATCCAATTCCGCAGCACCAAAATCGGAGCACTTTCCTCCCAGCCCCTTCACCTTTCCCTGTTAAACGTCTGCAGCCATAAAGGCTTCAATACTAACACACAAAATGCTTACACTGGGCCCAGGGGGCACTTTCATGATCACATAAGGGCTTCAGAATAGGGCTCATTTACTATCTCTCCTTTTCTGGAATGCCCTTTCATCCACACTTGTCCTCAAGTGGAAGGATGAGAGAGCGAGAGAGAGAACAGTGAAGGACATTAGAGAATACTCTTCACATGGAAAAAATGCTGCCATATGTGCAATGGAATCAGTAGGGGGAATGTGATGGATATAAATTAAGCTATAGTGTTGATTTAAGATTTAAAGGTAAAGCATCAGAACATTCTCTCACCATTGGGAAGTGCTGCACAAATATTTCAGGGAGGTTGGGGGCTTTTTCAGTATTAAGATAATGAAAATGACAATTTCTTATTAAACCTCAGAAATGCTTTTGGAGAGCCCTAAGTTCAAAACACAAACCTTTCCTTGGAGCTGTCCCCCTGTGCCAGTGGGGGAACTCTGCCATGGTTTCTCCAACCCTGGCCATGGCCATTGGGCTGATGCTGCCTAGGTTTTAACTTGCCACAGGTTTGGGGGGAATGTCAGGCTCCATGATTAATTATGTGCTGGGAAAAGACAGGATTTAAGGAGTTGGGAGGAATAACAACAGTAAAAAAATGGATAACAAACAAGGAAAGGGTGCCTGAGAAACCACAAGGGCCCCTGCTCTGTGTGAAGAGTCCACTGTGGACACAACAGGGTGCATCTGGCTGCTGCTATGAAAATGATATTTACACCAAGTATCCCAACTTTAGGGATATGCTGCTCAGAGGTGCTGAAATTCTGCAATCTCCACCTCACTGAGCTGCAGCTACCAGCAGCCAGTTTCCCTGGAAAGTGGGATCACCTCAATGTTAGTTTCCTGTGGGCCCTTAGCTATTGTAGTGCTAAAGGCAGAATTATTCACACAGGCCTTTATCCTCCCCTTTCCTTGAAATAAAACCCACTGAGCTAAATTCTGGGCCAGCAAGAGGAGATGCAAATCCCCCTGGCTATAATGGATTCCTGCCACAGGTAAATTTGACTAATTATTTTCATAAAACTGAGGGAGGCAAGGATTTGTGTGTCGACATTTGTTGCTGATTTAGCATCTGGCCCAGAGAAAGGCCAGGCTGGCTACAAGGAGACAAAGCTATTAGACATTAGCGTTCAGACAACACCTACCTCACTCCAAACCAGCATGGTGCCGAATATGACCTGTAACCCATCAAAGAAATTGTCTCCTATGATGATGACAGTGGCACCTCCTGTAGTCCATCCTTCACTTGGACTGATGGCTTTGATACATGGTGTAGCTGCTTTTCAACACACATGAAAAAGAGAAGTATTCTGCTGTTAGAACTGGATTTTAATGATAGAAGACGTGAGAAAAATAAAATAAAAGGAGCTTTCATTATCCCCCCTTACTAACACAAAGATTTCAGCAATCAACGTTCATTGTAGTACACATGCATGACCTCAAACTCTATCTTTGGAAGCATTTCTTTCCTTAATTAATTTCTGTTTGGTTTTATTATCTGCATTGAAAAAGAAAAATTTTAATCCTACATTAACAAAAAAATCACAGCATGATGGGCAGAGACCAATTGGAAATCAGGACACATCCCTTTTTTTATTGTATATGAAATGTGCAAGACCTAAGTTAATAAAACAATCTCCAGTAAACTTGCTTTATTATCCATCAGAACCCAAACTCACCAAGGAAACTCCCATAAATATTATGGAAAATATTGGCAAAATAAAAAAGGGTGTAACCCTCAGCATTTCTCTATTCTGCAATGAGATCCAGGTTGTTCAGTATTAAACCATCCTGCCTGATTAATGCTTTGGCTACTACAAAAAAAACCAACACCCCACAACCAAAAGCCACAGCTGCCATCCAGTCATTCCAGTTGTATTGCATCTACAGGATAAACAAGATGTGTGTGCAACATATTTTGCCATATCCATGGAATCTCACAGCCACTTTCTTGGCATTATATCTACTCAGAGCCTCTGAGAGGATGTTGAAAACTCAAGTGATGCTCAAATCTTGGACTAAGAGCTTCTGGTTTAAGACTTTGTAAGTAGAAGCAGCTCAAATATTGGTGGGCTGGGGCAGTATAAATATTCACATACTGATTCTCCTCCTCTGCAGCACTGGGAAACCTTGGAATTTAACTGTGCTGAAGCAACAGAAATAACATTACTGTAAAAATAGGCAGAAAACCCTGGGTAACTCTGCTGTGGAGGTCTCAGAGTGGTCACTTAGGTTGATGGAAAGAAGCAATTTCACCCAAGATGCCACCAACTTTTCCTTGCTGATGCAGCATGAGGTGAGAATATGGCATTAGTAACACTAGAGGATATTTTAAGTAAAGCAGGTACCTCAACAGTTTCATTACTCATGGAAAACAGGTTCAAGGAGCAGCACAACTCCACCAGCCAACCTCAGTGTTGGAAAGAATGATTCTTTCCTGTAGATATGATGCCAGAGGGAAGAGGCTGCACTGCAAACTCAGGAATGGTTGCCACTGCCCAGTTTTAGGGTTGGTGGCATTTGGGTGTGAATTGCTACTTGATGGAAAGGCTGATTGAGCTGTTAATTTGGTTTGTAACTTTGATTATTTGATGATGCACTCAAGGAAGAGCACTCAGGCACTTCCTCAGGTAAGGACTGACTAGGAAGATGGGGATATTAAAGCCACCCATGTGTTAGCACCACCCAGGATTAAACCCTTGCCCTCATGAGTTACTCAATGTGGCAGTGTAGTGAGTTACTTAATGAGGCACAACCCCTGTCCTAAATTCTAATTGCAAAGACAGAAAATTAATTCATTCACAGAAGCCTAATTCAAAATGCTCCAGACATCAAGTGCTAAAGAGACCCAGTGCATCTTTGTGATTCCTTAGTGAAGTTCTGGTTGGTTGGAGCTGATTGCAAGACTCAGTGTGGCTGCTGGGAAGCTCCTTCCCCCAGCCCCTGGGCAGGGTGGGCAGGTAGGGAGCTGGGAAGCAGGAGGGGGCTGGAAAGGGAGCAGCTGAGTCACCCTGAGCAGAATTTCTGTGAGCACACCCCTGCTGGTGGCAGGCAGGGATGGAGAGCAAACAGACCCCGGCCCTACCTACAAAAGGTTGCAAGTGTCAGGCACAAACTTTTCCACTACTTAAGCTGTTGGGGATGCCAGCTCCAGGGAAAAACACAAACAGGCAGAAAAAAAAAAAATCTTTTTTTTGAGACAAACTTGGCAGAGTACAGCCATTAACTTTTACATGAGCTAACAAAAGAAACATCCTGACATTACCGTCACGAAAACGTAGCGCGCACACAGAAGTAACTTCAATATGTTTAATTTGGATTCAAGTTACTTGCATAAAACTGTGCAGAAAAACCACTGTGATGTCCAAAAGCAAATGCTTTTCCTTCAGCCAAGCTCACAGCAACAGATTTACAGTGAAAGCAGTTTTTCAAAATGCCATCTAGCCCTTTCACAGAATCGAACTTTTTCCTAAATAAAAATTAAAATTACTTCCAAATTACACCCTTTCCAGTATTCCCAGTTGATTGTGGACACATACCCCCACAATAAAACCCAGAGATAATCAGTTTCCCATGTGTCAGAGAATGAGCTACTTTCTTAAAGACTACAAGCAACATTTCTTTTCCTAAATACCATTGAATAAAAACTATTTGAGACCATAAGCCATTAACAGAAAACATATGCAGGCTCTGCTGAAAGGGCTGTCAAGCACTGGAAGAGGCTGCCCAGGGAAGTGGTTGAGTCACCATCCCTGGAGGTATTTAAAAGCCATGTAGATGTGGCACTCGGGGACATGGTTTAGTGGTGGGCTTGGCAGTGCTGGGTTTACAGTTGGACTCAATCTTAGAGGTTTTTTCCAACATAAATGACTCTACAATTGAAAATTATAGATTCAAGTAATCTTTAAAATGAATGCAAGATACTCTTGTGGAGTTACAGGACTCCACAAAAAAATTTCTTGCTCTTTATGTTGTGATGTTCTTTGTATTCCCTACGTTGCACTCAGAGGTTCAAGTTGCTGCCCTGTCTGTGCTGCCTCATGTATTTGATTCTAATATTTTATAAATGCATTTTCTTCATATCAAAAGTGTGCCAAGTCCCATCCATGCCAGCCAGGGGGACTGATGCAGACACTCAGGGTTCTTTGCTGAACTGGGGCTGTGAGCTCTTCACTGGGACACTCTCACCTGCAAAGCCACTGTGACTAATGGCACATGTTATTTTATTTAAATATGTAGAAATTGTGCTGAATCAGTGCCTCATCAAACCTGCTGGCAGTAGCCCAGGACATCTCCTCTGAGCATAAAAAGTCAGGACTTGGTGGTCTAATAAACAGGGCAGGGTGGTGCCATTTTCAGGCACAGCCTGCCATGGAGCAAGAGCACTGAGCATTTCCAAAAGATTTCAGGGCGTTATTTTCCCATGCCACAAAAACCAGAGGGACTCCTCAGCTTTCCCCACACAACTTCTCTTATTTTAAAGTGCAAGTAAAGGTTGGAAGAGCTGCAGGAGGTGCTGCCCAGCCAGGGAAGTGGCCCTGCAGGGCTGCATCCCAAGGCAGACGTGCTGGGGGAGGCATCCAGACTGCTACCTGTTTTTGAGGGCACAAAACATGTTTATACAATGACATATTTGCAACAACCAGTGTCATTCAGGACGCTGGTCTGTCTAAAACTTTGTCCTTCTCAGGCCCTTTGCTTGGAGCACCAAGGAGGATGGAATTGGGTCCCGTTTGCAGCATCACCACAGGTAACACTGGGAGGGGGGCAAGGCAGTGACCTCAGCTCTATTTATGCCCCTGGTACAAATGTCTGGCCAGCTCAGGCCCTCAGCTCTTCATACTTCTGCTCTTAATCACTTGGCAACTTTCAAAGCACTGTCTGGAAGGTGTTTACTTCTGTGCAACCCTAGGAAAACAGAGCTAGGGAGAATAATCTTTTCACTGGAGGCCTTGATTTTCCTACATTTTGTTTTGGTCAGAAGACAAACCAAAATACAGAACTTTTTTTTTTTTTTTTTCAGCAAATGAAGTTCCAGAATATCTATCTGGAATTAACTATAACACTTTTCAATACCTCCAAGAAAAACAAAATGTTTTGTTTCAAAATATTATCACTTTTCATGCCCTTCTGTAACCCCAAAGCAACATTTCGGAAACGGTGTTTTTAAAACAAATAGAATAAAAGGTTACATAAAATTTAGCTTTTTCTGTAGAAAAAGAGTTTTTAGTCAAAGTCTGGTGCTTCACTGATAACAAAATACAATGAAGGACTTTAGACCAGTCCTAATCATGGCAGTGAAGTGTACATGATAGATAACATGAACAGACTTTAAGTCCAGGGAAGAATTATAACACAAAAAAGACTACTTGTTCATTCCTATATATATGAACTTTTCTGTTGTTGAATGAACAGCTGGAAGCCAACTACAATAAGAACCAAAAGAATTTGGTAGCCCAGCTATCAGACAGGATTTTCAGACTCTTTGGTCTGAGTGTGCCACATTTGTTGTGTTTTTTTCAGAACAGCTGGGCTGAGGGAAAACCAAACATCCCCTTCCAGCTGCAGCAGGACCTTACAGCTCCTGGCTGAAGGGGATGGGGACACATCCTCCACCTGCTGAAATGGCCTAATTGTTATGAGCCTTAATGAGCTGCTCCCCATCTTTGCACAATATCAGGGCAAGTCAGTGCCCACCTCTGGCACGTCCCATGGTGCTGCAAGCTCAGATAGAGATGTCAGAGGCTGCTCTGCAATCCCAAACTTACTGAGGCCAATGGGAATCCTGCCACTAACTTCAAAGCTAAGGGCTCCATCAATAAATGTTAAGGATTTATGAGCAAAAACCTTAATGGCTCCAAGGAAAACAACATACTTATGAAATCTTCATTTTTCTCAAAGTACACTTTGTTGAAATCTTATCACCTCCCATACAAAGGATGGCAGGTACCAACTCCAGCACATGGGGAGCAAAAAAAGGAAAAGTTTTTTGTTGTGTGCCGGTGTGTTCCTGTGTTCCCACACTTCCCAGCTACTGATATACAGGGATTTTTCTTCCCTCAAACTGTGACAATAAAATGATTACCCCGCCACAGTTTAGCATAATGGTTCAGAAATGCTCATGGCATATTGCAGAGTTAAAGTGGAAATTATTAGGTAGCTCTTCTTTGTTATAATAATGATCACTCCACAAATAAAAGCTCTTCTCCCAAAGGTACTGCAAGGCACAAAATGCTAATTCTGAAGATTATGTGCGCGCTTTTATTAAATATTACTCTG